TAAGCCAAAAAGAAAATGAATGAATGAATGGCTGAGTTATTAATAAACCAGATAAAGGTTAAAAATAACCAAACAAAGCACCAAATATTTAACCCATCTGAGGTATTAATAAACCCAATAAAGGTTACAAAAACCCAACTGGTTGAGTTATTAACACAACAAAGCACCAAATATTTCACCCAGCTGGTTGAGTTATTATTATACCCAATAAAGGTTAAAAATAACCCAACAAAGCACCAAATATTTAACCCAACTGGTTATTAATAACACCAATAAAGGTTAGAAATAACCCAACCAAGTACCAAATATTCAACCCAACTGGTTGAGTTATTAGTAAACCCAATAAATGTTAAAAAAAATAACCCAACAAAGCATCAAATATTTAACCCAACTGGTTAAGTTATTAAATAAATAATCCAATAAAGGTTAAAAATAACCCAACAAAGAACCAACTATTTAATCCAACTGGTTGAGTTATTAATAAACCCAATGAAGGTTAGACATAACCCAACTGGTTGAGTTATTAAATAAATAACCCAATAAAAGTTAAAAATAACCCAACAAAGAACCAAATATTTAACCCAACCGGTTATTAATAACACCAATAAAGGTTAGAAATAACCCAACAAAGAGCCAAATATTTAACCCAACAGGTTGAGTTATTAATAAACCCAATAAAGGTTAAAAATAACCCAACAGGTTATTAATAACACCAATAAAGGTTAGAAATAACCCAACCAAACACCAAATATTTAACCCAACTGGTTGAGTTACTAAATAAATAATCCAATAAAGCAGTGGTTCTCAAACTTTTTTCATCAAGTACCACCTTAGAAAAAAATCGTCTCTCCAAGTACCACCTTATGACGCCTTTTTTTTTAACCAGTATTAAAAAATAGCGTCGTAGGCCTAATTAAGCAGCTACAGGTGTGCACAGTTTAAAAACGATGCAGATTACTTCCTATTATTAAGAATATGTATTAATGTCAGTCACTTTAAACATTTTAAATAGTCTGAACATTAACTGTGCTTGCAGATAAAAAAAAAGTTTTAGTTAAAATGTGCTTTTAAAAATTCATTAAAAAATGGCGCTGTTCTTAAAAAGTAAAAAGAAAACTGCTGTACTTAAATCTAAAGTATTCATAGTAGCCTATTCATCAAAAGCTGGAAATGCTGCTTGGACCTTATAAATATAGGCTATATGTCATATTGCTACACTTTCAGACAAATCTTGAAATATATGTTAAATGTATATGACGGGGTTCATACAGGCACAGCCTAATGAAAATCAATTCCAGCACCTATTTTTTTTTTCAAGACTGACATGCTATGTATTGAAGACCTGAAATGTATTCTCAGCAACCCATAAAATATTGCATAGGAATAGATACAAATAAAAAACATTAAAAATAATATTTATTAATCATATATTAATAATATAATAAACCTGCACTAAATGCTTGTGAAATCTTTTTGTACTCAAGTAAAAATACTATTGCACTGCTAAAATAACAACATTTTTAGTAAATAATGCTAATATTTGGTAAAAGTACAAAGTACTCTTTTAAAAAGTACTAGTTGGTTACTTTTGAATAAAAAATCAGATTTTCATTATGAAATCACTTTTTTTAAGTGTAAACCTGATTTAATGGTTTGATTGCTTAAATCCCAAAGCTACGTGTATAGGAATATGCACTAACAAAGGAAGTATGGTCGATTTTTCCTTTCATGACAATTAATCTTTTTCAATAGCACTGGTAAAACTACCAAATAATCTTTAAGGCCATAGAGACACTTTTTGCCCATTTTTTAAAAAATATATTTTTAAGCTTTGAAAGGTTAAAGTATATGGTAAAAAGATTTTTATTTAGCCTTTTATTTACATATTTTACACTATTTTTCTTTACAATATGGCAAATTTGTTTCTTCAATAGCTGTACATCACATGTAGATTTTATTTTACACTTGATCTTAATCTAAAATAGAAACGTAAAAAAAATACAAGTACACTGTCAGTAAAAAATAAAACAAATGACTTTATTTTACTTGAGGTATTTGAAATGTGACAACAATACATTTATCAAAGCAGTGCTTTAAGAGTCTTATTGTAAATTTTGATAAATAAACAATAAGTAACAATGGATTGCTTTGATCTGTAATGCTTTAGGACAGATCAGAATACAGCTAAATGTATAAATCACACATATACCTCATCCAGAAACATTTCCAGCATAATTCTTTTGTCGTAAAGAAACAAAAAAGCTCCACCTTTGCTAAAGTTTCACTTGACAACACAGCCAAATAAGAAGACCATTAGCATTGTTATCGATCATGCATCAATCTATTTCTAAATACTTCATAACTTTAAATACTTTTGACTAAATTTAGTCAAGGAGCAAAGATAAATAATGTCTACTTTAATAGTGGAAAGATCGCGATTGTATTCTATCTGAGCACACAGGCGATCATGAGAGGACTTGCAGTTCATTTGAAAAAAGCATATTTAAGAGCTCGCATATCTGTTTTAGTGATTTGCGTACATGAATGCGCTCTCGTGTTAAAATAAAGCACTCGCCACATTTGCAGAAATGAGTAATTGCGCAATACCTCCATTCCCGCGCCGCCATTCAGAATGTATTTAGAGGAGTGACAGGTCAGAGTCGAGTCGACTGGCTGTCGGAGAGCGAAACGTGTTTGTAGATCATCAAAAAGGCAGGAAATATGTCCGCGGTTAAATTACTCTGCTAGACATATCTATAGTGAAAACATCCGAGAAGCATTATTCCAACAAAACATTTGTTTTTAAGTAGTTTTTTCTGTCTCTGCAACACAGAAAGCATTTGTCCCGCCCTTACGTTTCACGCAACTAGACAAGGTCGACTGTGATTGGCTACTTTTCATGTCAGTCAAATCACGCTTCAGAATCTATTCTTAAACTTCGGAAACTGATTTATAGCAGCTTATGACACAATGCACTAAAATAAACACTCTAAGCACAGCGCTGTGATCGTACACTTCACAAAACAGCCAATGCTGATCACATCGATGTTATATTACACATTTGAGGATTAAAAGTGTTAATTGTTTCTTTCATTATTCAGCGATTCCTCCGCGTACCACTAGGAGGAAGCCCGCGTACCACTAGTGGTACGCGTACCACAGTTTGAGAACCACTGCAATAAAGGTTAAAAATAACCCAACAAAGCACCAAATATTTAACCCAACTGGTTATTAATAACACCAATAAAGGTTAGAAATAACCCTACCAAGTACCAAATATTCAACCCAACTGGTTGAGTTATTAGTAAACCCAATAAATGTTAAAAAATAACCCAACAAAGCATCAAATATTTAACCCAACTGGTTAAGTTATTAAATAAATAATCCAATAAAGGTTAAAAATAACCCAACAAAGAACCAACTATTTAACCCAACTGGTTGAGTTATTAATAAACCCAATGAAGGTTAGACATAACCCAACTGGTTGAGTTATTAAATAAATAACCCAATAAAAGTTAAAAATAACCCAACAAAGAACCAAATATTTAACCCAACCGGTTATTAATAACACCAATAAAGGTTAGAAATAACCCAACAAAGAGCCAAATATTTAACCCAACAGGTTGAGTTATTAATAAACCCAATAAAGGTTAAAAATAACCCAACAAATAACCAAATATTTAACCCAACAGGCAGGCACGTGCACACATAGGGCTCAACCTGTGCAGTGCACATGCCCTTTTTAGTCTTGGATAGAAAGTGCCCTTCCAAAATGATCAAAAGTGCCCCCGCGACGCGGCACACTCTCGGTCCCGCTCTTCAGTAGGCGCGTGACAACACCGGTCTGAGTACGCGCGCGACAACACCGCTCTTCAGTACGCGCGCACCCCCCCCCCACCCCCCCCCCCCCCCCCGCTCTTCAAAAAATTTATCCTGCACATGCCCTTCAGACGGTCTCTGCACGGTCCTGCCAACAGGTTATTAATAACACCAATAAAGGTTAGAAATAACCCAACCAAACACCAAATATTTAACCCAACTGGTTGAGTTACTAAATAAATAATCCAATAAAGGTTAAAAATAATCTAACAAAGCACCAGATTTTTAACTCAATAGGTTAAGTTATTAATACATAACCCACATAAAGGTAAGAAATAACCCAACCAAGCACCAAATATTTTTAACTCAACCACTGGGTTAAATAAATAACTCAGCGTATTTTAGAGTGTAATATCGACTCTATTATCGAAGCTGATGCTTTGTTGTTTCAGATTATCTTCAGATGTGAATACAGACGCTGCTACACTGAGTAAATAAACCATATTATTTCCCCTGAGCCTCATTGATTGATCTCTTGTGGAATATTCAGTGTTATCTATAGGCATATTTAATAAAGCGATCATGTCTCTTTAACACATCAACATGGGACTCGAGGAAAACGTGCTGAATACATAAGTGCATTGCGTCACTGAACATCACGCTCTTAACATTTTGCAGGTTCCTCGAAGAAAATGTGTCCCTGACACAATGGCATCATAACATACGCTTTCCCATTGAGTTTCTGCGCATTTGCATGACTGCGAGGCGTCTAAATGAGAGAAAAACCTAAACGGCGCAGCGCAGACACATGTTCGACACTGGAATCCCAACACGTAGTTATCCTTATATGGGCATTTTCCTGTTTGACAGTGTTACGTCACTGCATGACGCGGGAGCAGGTGCAGACGATGAAACTGAAGGGGTCATGAAATAAGACACGGTGTATTAGATATGCATTTAATTATTTCCCACTGCAAAACGGATTAAATTAATACAGTTAGATCCATAAAGGCATTAGGCAATGCTTTCCACATCACTGTCTTATTTTCATAAATATAAAAGCTTATTTAAATACAATAAAACGTCATTTAATTATCAGACAAGATGGGCTGCCTATATGTCAAACATGAGCCTCGGTTTGCACGAAATGATCGCATTTTAAAACACGTCATATACACAAAAGTCCTACATTATGCATTTCAGGCTCCATCAGAATTTTATGAATGAACATGTCGAAGAGACCACTTTTATCCGTCTCATAGGGGTTACTGATTCACCGCGCGCAGCTTTAATACAGCAGCGCCAATTTACTCAAACACATTGTTAATTACGAATTAAAATGTAACCATCATGTGCACAAACATACTCTGAAAGCTTATATGCCCCCCTCTTGTGTGCTCTGCAGAGGCGCTCCCCGCGCGAGGAAATGGTTCAGTCCGTTTCATTCATAAAATTCAGACGACTATAAATAGGAGCTCGCGGAGCTGAGTGTCACTTGCCAGGTTTATCAACCTGGAGAGAGCGACTCCAACATCAAGAAGCGAGGCGTCTGGATCATTAAAGCTGGACTCTGGAAGGTATTAGAAATGTTCCCGAGCAAAGAGAAGACTGAGACGGACTCCCCATCCTCTATGGCCGGGGAAACCCGCCCGCAAAAACCGATGGACAGCAGCAGCAGCGCACAGGTATGACTGTCTGTCAGTGCTTTCACTTTCATGCATCAGCAGAAAACCCACTCAGTTGGTGCATGTGGATAATGCATATGCATTATATGATCTGTTTATAATATTAATTATAAAAATGACAATTTTATAAACATTCCCATATGCAATGGCTTTTGAACAGCACGCATTGTTTAATGCTTCATCTGTTTGTCTCACGTTGAATGTGATGTTTTGCATCTTCGCGATGCAGGTGAAGCATTGTAAAGGAAATGCAGCTGTTCATTGAGAAAAATAAACCCATTGAGGAGAGCCCACAGCGGCTCTGCGTAAGCATTGACGTCAGAGACAATGCAAAAGTTAAATATTGATCAGGAGACTATTTTTAGATCCTCGAGTGTATTTAAAGCAGGACTCTCAAAAAGATCACCACTGTCAATTATAGAGTATGTTTTACAAATGCTTCTATCTGTAATACTAACAGCGGAATTTATTATGTCCATCGCGGTCGCAGGGCGAGTCTCCGGGCGCGTTCGTCCCGACGGTCACAGCGATCTCCAGCACCCCAGACCTGCAGTGGATGGTCCAGCCGACCATCATCACCTCCGTGTCTCCGTCTCAAGGCAGAACCGACAGCAATGAACCGGCAAAGAGCAAACCAGCGGGAAACAAAGGGAAATGCGCTGCGCGGAAGAGCAAGAGCGAGCAGGTAGATACTGCATTCACTGCATGCTCCGAGTGTGTGGGATTGATGGGGATGCAGCTCTTGCTCTGGCATGTTGCCTAGACCGCCAGCATCCACTTTATATTCAGGTCACAGCGAGTCTGCAACAATAGACTATTTTTAGACGCATTGCAGTGCGCGTTTGCCATTGGTGTTTAGTTGGAGGATAGAAGTCATGCTTTTTTTCTGGTTTGTTGTTGTTGCATGCATTGATTGCTCGTGATGACAAGCGCATTTGGTCTCGCTTTGTGCAGCTCTCTCCTGAGGAAGAGGAGAAGAAGAGGATCAGGAGAGAGAGGAATAAAATGGCTGCAGCGAAGTGCCGCAACAGACGGAGAGAGCTCACCGACACGCTCCAGGCCGTGAGTGCAGACAACACCACACTAACATTCAGCCCTGAAAGCTGCACTTCATCACCCTGGAGAACAAAACGGTGTATATAGGGTGCATCTGTGGGAAATAATATGATGTACACTGCGAACAAATGCTTTTCTTAAATTCTTTTTAGATTTTTTGTCTTGTTTCTAGTCCAAATATCTAAATCAAGAAGCATTTTCTAGACAAGCAAAACATATTGTCTTGTTTTGAGAAATAATATGCCAATATTAAGTGAGTTTTTCCTTAAAACAAGCAAAATAATCCGCCAATGGGGTAAGCAAAATAATCTTGTTTTTTCTTTTGACGTAAGATTATTTTTATTTAGTTGTAACACATGCTTAAAAAGGCAGATTACACACAATTAATTTTAATTTAGTTTACTTTAAATAGTAGCTTTTCTCAGTACCTAGCTCAATTATTTTTTATTATTTTTGTTTATTTATTTATTGGTTAAACACATTTGAATTAATTTGGATTATTGTACATTATTATACAATGTATTTATTTGTAGTATTAGCAATAAAATATTTTTATCTTTAAAAAAATTATATTAAAATTTCATTTTATGTAAAAAGTTCTCAACATTACCCTCAAAATTAAAAAAAAAATTATTGTGTTACTGTAGTTTCATTGGTGTCCAACAGTGTGTGGCTTAATTGTAACACCCTGTTACAACGAACCTCGCTGTGTCACGTCTTCCTCAAAACTGGCTGGCAGACATTGTGGCTGCGTCCGAAACCGCCTACTACTCAGTAGGTACTGCATTTGAATTTAAACGTACTACTCGGCCGTTAGAAAAGTACGTTCTATACAGTATGAATGTGAAAAGTATGAATGGAATTCGGACATACTACATCCGCCATTTTGTCATGGTCACGTGACCTACGTGCGTCAGTTGCGTCGCTTTACTTCCATTAATGAATTCGCTCGCGGGGCATCATGGGATAGCACAGCATGCATGGGATGCGCACTCCGGAATCTCGCCGGAAGTAGTAAGTCATCCGGGTACTTTTCGCGTACTGATTTTCGAATTCTATGAATTCGGACATACTACTCGGCTCGCATACTAATTTTAGCATACTATATAGTATGGAAGTATGCGGTTTTGGACGCAGCCTATGAATGCGAAAAGTATGAATGTAATTAGGAAATACTACATCTGCCATTTTGAAAAGGTCACGTGACCTACCTGCATCAATTGCGTCGCTTTACTCCCATTCATGAATTCGCTCGCGGAACGTCATGGGATAGCACAGTATGCATGGGATGCGCACTCTAGAATCTCGCCGGAAGTAGTAAGTCATCCGGGTACTTCTCGCATACTGATTGTCGAATTCTATGAATTCGGACATACTACTCGGCTTACATACTGATTTTAGCGTACGATATAGTATGGAAGTATGCGGTTTCGGACACAGCCTGTGTGTTTTACATCTTTCAAAATGGTTTCATCGTTTAGCCTAGAAGACGGTAATCACAGCAATATAAGATTTTACTAACATACTTACACAGAATTTGTTAAACAAAAAAAATATCGACCATAATAAAAATACTTTTATGCCACTTTTTGGCAGGAAGACATCTGCCGACTCTGTGGTGAAAACCTCGGAAGCATGCCATGGTTAACCCTGAGCAAATACCTTAAAACTCTGTTACATTTTACCCTGCGTTACTTTTTATAGTCTCAGTGTGCACGCTTAACTCTGAGTTGGTCAACTCAAAGTCATACAACAGCCCAAAATCAAACAACATGCGCTAGACATCAAAGGCACAAATCTGAAAATTCTGTCGACATTTAGGCCCTGATTACACTGTCAGGTCTTAACGCCCAATTCGGATTTGTTGCCTATATCTGATTTTTTTTGCCTGCCCGTTTACACGTTCATTTAATCGTGACCCCTATCTGATTCATGTGTTTACACTTACCATACAATTTACGAAGTCATGCATGCGTAAAGGCGGGTTCTAGCATCTGTGCCACACTAGCCACGATGGAAGATATTGTCTTGCTTTTAGTTCTGTGAAATATGTGATCGCCCAACTTTAAAATGATTTTGAGGTGGAGGAGGAAGGAATGGGTCGCCATCGCTGCTTGTGTCTGTGGCAGGGCTCACCGATCTTGTTCCTGGAGGTCCGTTGCCCTGCAGGGTTTAGCTCCAACTTGCCTCAACACACCTGCCTGGGTGTTTCAAGTATACCTTGTAAGACCTTTACTAGCTTGTTCAGGTGTGTTTGATTAGGGTTGGAGCAAAAATATGCAGGACACCGACCCTCCAGGAACAAGTTTGGTGATCCCTGGTGTATGGTTTATATATGGTGTCCTCCACTATTCAGAGGAATTTTTGGGTATGAGAGAGATCTCAGGTCTGGTTGGAGCAAATTGTGGTGAATGGCTATTTTCCTCCTCTGTTTTTCTAAGTCATTAAACTGCAGAGAAGTACCACATTCTGGCAAGTTTAATGAAGTACAAATGCCTCAGTAAATCCGATCTGACCGTTTACATAATAGTCGCATTGTCACATATCCGATTTATATCTGATTTATTTCCACATATGAAGGAGGCCTGAAACCGATCTCTGAAAACCCGATTGCGTGCATTTTTTTGTGTTTACACGGTCATAGAACAAATCAGATCTGTCACATATGAGCAAAAAATCTCAATTGGGTCATATTTAACTGGCAGTGTAAACGGGGTCTTAGTCTCCCGTCACTTTCTCAAGACCTGTTTGACTTTTTTTCTTCTATTGAACAGAAAATATATTTTAAAGAAAGCTGGTAGCCTTGACTCCCATAGTATTTGTTTTTACTACCGTGGGAGTCAGTGAATACAGATTTGTTTTTCTCCCAAAATATTTTCGTTTGTGTTCAACAGTAGAAAGAAACTCAGTTTTGGAAACAGTTTTGACTTGGGAAAGAGAGTCAATAGTTAATTTTCAGTGTACGCCATAAAGTTTCTGAAAATATCAAGTTGATTTATCTCTGTCAGTGGTTTATAATCCTTTTTTATTTTCTCCAGGAAACAGATAAGCTAGAAGAAGACAAAGCTGCCCTCCAGGCTGAAATCGAGAGCCTCCTGAAGGAGAAGGAGCGGCTGGAGTATGTCCTGGCCTCTCATAAACCTCTTTGCCAAATGCCCGAAGAGCTGGACTGCTTGTTCCCTGAGTCCCCTCAGCCTCTTCCCGCTCCAGAATCGTCCAGCAAACTCCCAGAGGACAGTCCGCAAGATGCCGCCTCACTGCAGGACCTGGAGATCCCTACAGTACCGTCAAGCGCCATTTCTGGGAACTCCAACATCCTGCTGTGTTCCAGCGCGGAGGTCAGCTTGTGCGACCTAGAGCCGTCTCTGGATGTCAGGGACGAGCTTCTGGCCGGCAGCGGTGGGGATGATGATCGTGTTTCGGCTCGTTCCGTCCCAGACATCGACCTAAGCGGCTCGCTGGGCATCACAGACTGGGAGACGCTCTACAAGTCAGTGGCCAATGATCTGGAGCCTTTGAGCACCCCAGTGGTGAGCACTTCCACCCCCACCTGCAGCAACTACCTGTCCGTGTTTACCTTCGCCTGCCCTGAGCTGGACTCCCTGGCCGAGGGACTGGACGTTTGCAAATGTGGCGTGACCAAAGCAGAGTCTAGCGTCGATATCCTCAACTCTCCAACCCTTCTTGCCTTATAAATGTACATGAAAAAGGTCGTTGCACACTGAAGTCCGAAATTCTCATATGCATTTTTTCGTGTCTGAAAAATTCGTCACACACACAAACTTGCCGAGTCTGATGCATATTAATTTTTCTGATAAAACACAAAACATTTAACAGTCGATTCAAGCAGTGATGCTTTGTTCTCCTCAAAGGAGGAAGGAACGTTCACCTCCTTCTCAAACACCTGTGTGGGATTATCCAGAAATGCAGAATCTGTTTCAGGAAATCAGTGGAAGTTTGATACTTTGCTTGTGATACTTCAGTCACATAAAACACATTTCCGTTCATAAACGAATCTTGAACAGAGACTTCAGTCTCTTCAGTCTATACAAGGGACGGGTAAACGCTGTCCTGGAGGGCCGGTGTCTTGCAGTTTTGCTTCTACGCTAATCAACCACACCTGAACATGCTAATCAGTGTATTCAAAATCACTAGAAAGCTATAGGCAGCAGGTGTGTTTGTTTAGGGTGGAAGCAGGGCACTGGACCTCCAGGACCGAGTTTGCCCATCCCTAGTCTATACAGTAGTCCATAACACAGGTGTTCCTGGAGAGCCGCAACTCAGCACAGTTCCAGCCCTAATTAAACACACTTGATCAAACTAACTGAGTCCTTCAGGCTTGTTTGAAATCTAAAGGTAAAGGCTTGTTTATACTTTAGCATCCAGCGATCGCCTTGAAGATTGCTCGTAGTCATGCATTTATACTTCTGCATGCTGTTTGTGTTGCTCTGCTATAGCACTTCCGAAACGCTAGCTGGCAGTAGGTGTTATGCTCCTCTGTGTCAAGCTTCTTCAGAAGTGTTTAGTTTTTTCTGAACGCTACCTCAATGTACAAGTAGCTAAAACTTGCTCATTCAGATGCGGGAACTGGCGGACTTGCAACAACTAGAAATCATAAGGTAAACACAAATCAAAAGTCTTGTTCTGGAGCTCCATCATGCGACTCGACACTTTAGAACACTCGCTCCATCAGGCTCGCAGGCTGGCTATCAGCATTGCCCACACTTGTCACAGCTACCAAGCCGACCAATCACAGAGCTTGTGCTACGTGTCTCTGTACGGTGCAGTTACATTTTTTGAGAGGCTATGCAACAGCTCGAAGGCTGCGCCGGACTATACACGTAAGCTTGGCATAGATGTATAAATCATCCTTCAGTGTACTGATACATGGTTGAAACTAAACTGTGCAGGATTGCGGCCCATCAGAAACTGAATTTGACATCCCTGCATCCCTGCTACAGAAGTGTTTCTCAACCATCCACCACACGCATTACTATACGACAGCATTCTGCATTGACTTTTGCTCGTATGGTGGCTCTGAACTGTCAAAACACCTCTCAAAATACTTTTATGGATACAAAAAACTAAAGAGTTCAAACTCACAAAAGTTTCTAAGCAAGTGTGTAAATACATTTGACCCAACGTGAGGTCGAATTTATTCTTTAGCGTGCGAAAATTTCTTTGTTCTCCTCAAAGGAGGAAGGAGCGTTCACCTCCTTTTCAAACACCTGAGGGGGATTATCCTGAAATGCAAAGTGTGTTTCAGGAAATCAGTAGAAGTTTGATACTTTGCTTGTGATACTTCAGTCACATAACACACCTTTACGGTCATAAATGAATCTTGAACAGAGACTCCAGTCTATATCAGGGATAGGCAAACTCTGTCTTGGAGGGCCGCTTGTCTTGCAGAGGTTTGCTTCTTCAGAGTTTATGGTAATCAACCACACCTGAACATGCTAATCAGTGTATTCAAGATCACTAGAGAGCTATTGACCTTATTCTAAAATGCGGAAGTGCGCCTGTTTTCGCGATTGTCTTAGAACTTCTGTTTCAGTCGCCTATGGCGGAAATGACAAGGAATAATAAACGGCAAAAAACGGTCAAACTACTTGCTCTACAAACAAATGTTTGTATGACTATACAGACCAAGTAGAATAATACAACAAGGAAATATCAGTTTGCAACATCAAACAACGAAACGAGCAGTTTTTAATGTCTAAAAATGAATGGAAGTGAATGAGACCAGAAGTCTCGTGCCAAAAAGATTCAAATGGCAGCGCCCGCTCGTCTGCGGAGAATGAGGTCAATAGGCAGGTGTGTTTGTTTAGGGTGGGAGCAGGGCATCTCCTAGTCTATACAGTAGTCTACAGCACAGGTGTCAAACTGAGCAGCTCTGCACAGTTTAGTTCCAACACTAATTAAACACACCTGAGCAAACCTACTGAGTCCTTCAGGCTTGTTTGAAACCTACAAGTAAAGCCGTGGTCACACTGCACCTTTTTTGCCACGTAGACCAGGCATGTGCACAGATAGGGCTCAACCTGCACATGCCCTTTTTTCTTTTGGATAAAAAGTTCCCTTCAAAAATGAACTAAAGTGCGCTCTTCAGTCCGCGACTGTCAACCAGATCCCCTCTCCCCGCTCTGTGGTTCGCAGTCATCTCTCACCAACCCCCCTCATCATCCAACCCCCCACACTTTTTGGTTTTCTCAGCACAAGCCTCTTGGACACTCTCTGCATGATACTGACAAGGACTTCCATTCATACGCAAGCGAATGCGGCAGACCGGAATCGCATGTCGTGTGACAAATTTCGCAGTTCGCTGCATTCGAAAGTTCAAGCTTGGTGAACTCTGACCTGCGAAATCGCATCATGTGACCACATGAGATCAATAAAAGATTAAAACATGACCTCTCTGGACCCAAATAAAAAATATGGACCAATCGCTCGCTCGCTAATCATCTTGTTTAATCCCATCCCTTTTTTCAGCGCCGTACGACAGATTTTCGCATGTTCAAACTCTAGTTTGACCGTGGCAGAAGTGTGTTAAAGCTGGGTTGAAACTAAACTGTGCAGGGTTGCGGCCCTCAAGGAACTGAATTTGACATCCCTGGTCTACAGCAGTGTTTCTCAACCCTCCACCACATTCTGTCTTTATATCACGCATTATTATAAAGAGCATTCTGCATTTTGACTTTTGCTCGTACGGTGTCTTTGAACTGTCAAAACACCTCTCAAAACGCGTTCTCAAAAAGAGTTCAATCCCGACCTGAATTTTTTAACAACGTATGAAAGTTTCTGAGCCAGCGTGTAAATACATTTGACCAGGGATCACCAAGCTTGTTCCTGGAGGTCCGGTGTCCTGCAGATTGTAGCTCCAACCTTAATCAAACACACCTGAACAAGCTAATCAAGGTCTTACTAGGTATACTTGAAACACCCAGGCAGGTGTGTTGAGGCAAGCTGGAGCTAAACCCTGCAGGGACACCGGACCTCCGGGAACTAGATTGGTGACCCCTAAATTTGACCCAACGTTTTTTTTTAACGTTTGAAAATTTCAGATTCAGTGTGCAATGACTAACTGATGTAACGTCACGATATTGTTCTTAATATCTATGGGATATCACGGTGTTATGATGTCCAGATGTGTGATGTTGGTGTGAGGCCAGCTGTTCTATGGCTGCTGCTGCGTCCATGTAATGTGTGCGGGACGGGGGTTTACTTTCTTCCAGATACATTCGATGTAGCCTAAATACAAGAGCATGGATAATTATCTTTACGAGCAGATATGAACTATGCTCCGGTTTGAAACGCATGCACGAGATATCATGAGTTTATATATATATAGTTATATATATAAATATATATACCATATATAGTATATATGTATCAGTTCCATATTTGTTTGATCTGGTGCTAAGTTCAGTGGAATTGACTGCAGTTTTGTGTTCGTTTTCTATGGCAATAGGTTATCGACTCGTGTTGTGCTTGAATATAACAGCCATCCGACTTCTCGCATACCTCAGTGTCATCATTCAGCCGTGTTTCCACGTTGTTTTTACATGTTTAGAGTTTTCCATGAAAACATCCAGTGCTATATCGATGGAGATGTATTTTATGATAATTTATTTTTCTACATTTTAAATTTGACGTCTTCGTCAAATGAAAAGAGCAAAAATGAGCATTGATTGCTGAATAAATATTCAAAAATATACAACCATGCGGGTGGTGTTTTGTGTCCTTTGTTTGGAAATAAATGGCAAAAGGATGTACTAAATCAGTTACTCCTACACCAGTAAATTCAGTTGGATTTAATATTTTTGGATTATTAAAGCTGCCAACAAGTAAACATTTCAATTGGTACACTCACCGGCTACACCTTATTAATACCGGGTTGGACCCCCTTTTGCCTTCAGAACTGCCTCAATCCTTCATGGAATAGATTCAACAAGGCACTGGAAATATTCCTCAGAGATTTTGCTCCATATTGACATGATAGCATAACACAGTTGCTGCAGATTTGTCGGCTGCACATCCATGATGCGTTCTCCCATTCCACCACATCTCATAGATACTCTATTGGATCGAATTCTGGGGACTGTGGAGGCCATTTGAGTACAGTGAACTCATCGTCATGTTCAAGAAACCAGTCTGAGATGATTGGCGCTTTATGACACGGTGTGTTATCCTGCTGGAAGTAGCCATCAGAAGATGGAGACACTGTGGCCATAAAGGTCTGGACACGGTCAGCAACAATACTCAGGTAGGCTGTGGTGTTGACACCATGCTCAATTGGTACTAATGAGCCCATGAATGGATAGAGGAGGCCCATGAACACAAGTTTAAGAAATATCAACTTGAGAGCCAGGAGAATGGATGGATCGCCTGAAATTTAGCAGTAGAGGTGGGTTTTATGGGGTTTGCAGGGCAGTCACTCTGGAGAACTCTCGGGCTGCTGGAAATTAAAGGAATGGCCCAGAAACGGCTTGCAGGAAAGGTCACTGAAGAGGTGGAAGCAACATCTTGCTGGATTTGGCAACAAAGATAGGTTTAGTGGAAAAGCCAACCTGTTGAAAGACAAACCATATCACAGAGTTGGGTGGTGGTCAGCAGGAGTAGATCCAGGACACTGGATCTGCTGTCGAGCCCTCCCAAGGTGTCATGGGCTTAAATCGGTGAACACCAAGGAAAGGAGGATGCCCATCTGATGTCCGGCTGTAACCACCAACCCTTTTATAGAGTATATCTTTAACACTGGTGCTGAAGGAATTAAGGTGCAGGGCAGAATACCTGTAAAGGTGGGCCAGTTGCGATGGTCCCGTTGTATTTTGCATATAGCCCAAAGTGTGTCAAGAAAATCTCCCCCACACCATTACACCACCACCACCAGCCTGAACTGTTGATACAAGGCAGGATGGATCCATGCTTTTATGTTGCTGATGCCAAACTCTGACCCGGCAATCCGAATGTGGCAGCAGAAATCAAGACTCATCAAACCAGGCAACGTTTCTCCAATCTTCTGTTGTTCAATTGTAGTGAACCTGTGTGAATTGACCATACGTAGTAGTGATGCATGAATGGTGGTTATATTCGCGGGCACTGCGGATAATCCGCGGGTCGGGTAATAAAAAATACATTATGACTAATTGCGGGTTGGTTGCGGGTGAATGTAGCAGGACATGGCAGTGGACCAGCGAAAAAAACAGAGAGTGGACTTTGCAGAATGGGAAGATGAGATGCCCAAAATAATGGATAAAGTGCAAGAGTAGCCTACTGTTCAAACTTTCAGTTAGAGGAGTCCTCAGAGGAAAATCTGCTCTCGTTCTGGGAGAAACAAGATTGCCTATTTCCACAACTGTAGCGCCTTGCGAGGAGAATCTCGTGCATTCCTTCAACAAGCGGTGAAAGCAAACGCTCATTCATCGCATCTGGCTGCGTTTTGAAGGCGAGGTAGAATCGCCCGAATTTAGGCACAGTAGAAGCTGATCTTTTTTTTGCACAGTGCAAAGATAAAGGCCAAGTAAACACAACTAGGCTGAAGTGGCACCCTTTTTGTTTTTCTTCTTCCTGTATCTGTAAAAGCTAAAATGTCTTAATTTTACTTTCTGTATTTGAAAATGAAGAAAATGTCATCTAAAGACAAACTTCATTCATTTTCTTGTCGGCTTAGTCCCTTTATTAATCTGGGGTCGCCACAGCGGAATGAACCGCCACGTTTTTACGCAGCGGATGCCCTTCCAGCCGCAACCCATCTTTGGGAAACATCCACACACACATTCACACACACACTCATACACTACAGACAATTTAGCCTTCCCAATTCACCTGTACCGCATGTCTTTGGACTGTGGGGAGACCTGAGTACCCGAAGGAAACCCACGCGAACACGGGAACATGCAAACTCCACACAGAAACGCCAACTGAGCCAACCTTTTTGCTGTGAGGCAAACGTGCTACCCACTGCGCCACTGCGTCGCCTTAAAGACAAACTTTTGTTTTTATAAATAAATATTAATTTTAAAACTTTTACAATTAACGTAGGCTATTATTTTACTATCAAAGATGCGCAGATTAGTTCACTGAATCTGCTGTTAATATCCACGGTGACCTATCATCATGCCTAAAACAAAGAATCAGGTGACTGTGATTGTGGTTACTATGAGAGAGGATAACCAGCCTGGGGTGCGAGTCCCAAAACCATCGTTAGCCAACTAAGGTCACAAATTCCGCCGTTACAAACATAGTTTGTTGATTTGCCGTACCCCAAATCCATCGTTCCAACGAATATTTGCAAGCTGCGTCGCAAACTTGTGCACTTGCAACTACACATCTGGAGCTGTAGTTAGAAACATAGTTCCTGTGTTCTATTCCAAGTTATCCCCCCTATGACCTATTTTTTTAGAATATTCTAACATACAAAGTTGCAATGATTAAAAATAAAATAGCATTCAGGTCATCTCGCTCAGGTGTAATTTGCTTTCAAAGTATTTTTCCAGTTCAGTTTTAGCGATCTTCATGTTTACAATTGTGCTCCATTCGCAGTGCACTTTGAAAACATTGATGTCATTTTGAACACAGCCTCATGTTGAAAGCTAAAGGTGACCTATTATTTAACAGCGGAATTTATGTAACGTCGCCAAAGCCTGTGAAAACAAAACGCATACGTTAATTATTTTAATTTATAGTGGGTTTTTTATTAGTATTGTACTGACATGGGCCTGCTGTTTAGAACTTTCTGCAGTGGTTTTCACGTGTCAAATTGTAAAAGTAGACTAAAAAATCTTTTTCAAAATAAATGAACAATATCCTACTTAATAATAATATTAATCATCATCATCATCATTAATATTATTGATATTATTATTGAAGTAGAATTTTAAAATTACCTAATAAATAATAAATTTCATTTTTTTTTAAATCGCCTCATTATTTATTTATTTATATAATTTATATGTGATATTAGAATACGTGTTAGCTTTCGTAAGTGATTTTATGTTTTAGAATAGAATATGGTTTCCCAGGGATGGGTTGCGGCTGGAAGGGCATCCGCTGTGTAAAAACTTGCTGGATAAGTTGGCGGTTCATTCCGCTGTGGCGACCCCAGATTAATAAAAGGACTAAGCCGACAAGAAAATGAATGAATGAATAGAATATGGGTTATTCTAAATAGTATTTGTAAAGGAAACACAGGCTCTATATGTGGCATTTACATATATTTCAGTTAATATGGAAAGCGAGTGCATGTTTTTACCAAAACTAATATTGGATTTTATTTCAAATGTAAGTTTGTGTAAAAAAATATAATTTGCACAAAGAAATGATGGGGGTTTTCTCTAACGTTCCTCCACCCTGTTTAGAGCACCATTATGGGTGCGTGGTTCAATGATAAATTTGCGACAGAGAAACTACGAGAATTGGGAAACACTCGTCACTACATCATTCTTTTCCTAAATGATATCGTACTATGATAGTTCAGCCGCGAGTTTTGTTGTTTGGGAAATGCACCCCTGATTGTGACACTTGAGGGCTAGTAAAATGCGAAGTATCCTTTTAACTTTTAATAAAATGTTTCAGATGATTTTTAAGCGAATTCTTCGGAAGCATCTCTTGAATTCTTCCACCCCAGCTGCTGGAAATAAACCATAAAATTACATATATTTTTTTTTAACATTGTACTGAACTCAATAGTTCACAAGTTTATCTTCTTTTGTGTTCAACCAAAGAGCTTAGAATGACCAAGAGGCGACACTCAATAAAACGTTCCATTGCAACAGTAGCGCCCAGCAACAGCCCCGGATTCCGCCATTTTGGAGAGAAAGCATTCAGCCGTCCTTTGGATCTTATCCGCTTTTTAAGTGGTGACATGTTTGTGATGTACTGTATGTAATACTGTTTCCGGGTCCAAGCCGCCGTTCATTTGAGTGGAGAAATCATTCGTTTATGATCACTTTTTATTCATATCACACATTAAAGTTAATTTTATGTAGAATCATAGTGTACACAACAATCTCTGGGCTTGCTGCATAACAAATATCAAAATTTTAACAATTTATAAAAAAATGAATCACTTTCTGGCCATTGGATATTAGGCACGGACATATATATTGCGATCGTGACTTTCTAAAGTATTAAATCGCTTTGTAAACATTTATTATTACCATTTTATGAGTCTCCCCATTCAGTTGAATAGAGCGCTTGGACCCGGAAGCCTCTCCGCGTGACGTCACACCTAACAAGCGGATTGCTTTCGGGATGGCACGCAGCTGCTTTGTTTTTTATTTATTTATTTATTTAAAAAGCACATTAAAGCTGAGATACAACCTGAAAGATAACAATACAACACTTACTATGACAATCATCAGCACTTTTAATAGTTAACTTATAATCTGCTGTTGTTCTATTGGAGTTTTCATTCCAAAATGGCCGCCGCGCCATCTAGTGGCTGTTTACCAAATAGCACTAGAGTGTCGCCTCTTGGTGATTCTACGCTCTTTGGTTCAACAGAAGAAAGTCAAACCGGTTTGGAACAAGTGAAGGGTGAAAAATCGATGACAGAAGGCTCGGTTTTGGGTGAACTACCCATTTAAAAGGAAGTGCGACATAAATCATAACATGATTGGTGTGGAAGTTAATCGTAAATATAGGAATATTATAATTGACTTAGAATAGAATAAAAAGTCAAACATGTTTGGAACAAGTGAGAAAACGCTGACAGAATGTTCAGTTTTGTGTGAACTACCCCTTTAAAAGAAGATGTGACCGACATCATCATAACATTTGGACACTTCAGTCAGCAGCGGAGGAGCTCGTATTCGTCCGCGTGTCCAGACGCCGAGCCGGAATGTTTGTTTTCTGGTTTCTAAGGGGTGGAGCGAGCCTCTGCTCCTCACTTCTGCACTTCTCCATGTGTGTTTTCCCTTGCACTTCATTTCTCCATCCTCCCTGCTGACGTCCGACTTCCGCATTCCTCGCTTTTCCCGATCGGGGGGATCAGGGATCAGAGCTGATGCAACGATTCCCGCTTTTTAAGATATACTCGCGACCCCAGGCTGACGTCACAAAGGGACTCCACTCGCTCACCTCGAGGCCGAAGTCAG